ATATCAAACGGTGAATATGGAACATTATGTGACAGTGCTAGCGAAGTGCTGGATATTATTTGAACGACGTCGATGATTGAGATGATTAGTGGTTTCAGCAAAGAAATTTATAAACAAAATTAGATAAATTTTCTTGAATTTCGATAAAGTAACTAAGAAATTTAAGGGATTTGTTTCTTAGGTCACTTTGTATTTCGTTTTTTCTTTTCGAAGTATTTCATTATTTTAACTTATATATTTAATACAGTATATCGCTTTTTTCAAAGTTTTCATTCCAATGTCTTAACTCTTTAGGTCACAAAGACTTGGATACAAAACTTGCCTCCGACCAGTCCACATTCTTCTTTGGTGTCAAACCACATTTGTCATGAATGAACGAGGTTGATTGACTATGGGCATCTATAGCCATGCACAGTTATATACTCTAATACAAATAGGCTGCATATCAACATAATTTTTTGCAGTTTATACAACCTTCCGCCAGCAACACTCTCAGGATCATATCGGCTGATGTGAGTCATTCCATATAGATATCCGACGGGATAGGAAATGACGTTTCCTCTCCCATGTACTCGTATATATCTGCACATTTTCAATGTGTACTTCACAGTTGTGAAGTTTCAGGGTCTTTAGAGAATAAAAGGGGCTAAATATAATTCAGTAGTAAAATAAAATTCATTCCGAAACTAGCGCCTCTTAAAATTGAATATTTAAAAAAAGTTAAAGTAAGAAATATGGATCTCAAAGATCTCGATGCTTACGGAATTATCCATATATATTCTTTTCATCGTATTATAAACTACCGCTCATCAGTATATTTTCCGAAAGAATATTATTTTCAAACATTTTACTATGCTTTGAAATAAATAAATAAAAAGAGAAATGCCCATAAAATTAAACGAAAACGAGAAACGACTACATAGAAATATCAAAATTAATAAACCACAAGTTGAGTAACGTTTTATCTCGAAAATATATGTATGTCAAACAAATAGTTGACAAATTGAAAGATTTATATGGGTCGTGAAAACAATTCATCGCACAAATTGATGAGGGATATCACAAATTAGTATCAAAGTAGTGAAGCGTCTTTTTTGACCTACCAATACCTGAACAACAAGAGGAAATTTAAATGAGGACTTCGCCTGCACGAATCATTGGATTGACGTTGTACGAAGTATTGCTGCCACATTAGGGGTTGTGCTCCCGTGACCGCACTCAACCCCAATTACCGATTTCGAAAGAGACATGAATATGATTAATCTAATACGTGATTTGTGGTGCAGCATCTTACTCACCGATGAAGTGTGGCTCCACTTATAGCCTATTTTATGGATAGCGCAACAGAGCGAAAGCATTGAGGCACATTGGTTCAAAACTTGGTTGGTCAACAGCAGCAGCCGACAAGGAAAGTTATTACATTTATTTTTTCATATTTACTCCAGGTCTACGGAGCTGATATTCCACAAAATATTTTACTGTTTCCTTTTAGCGGAACACTTCTTGGGTAATTTTATACACTTTTTATACCAACGTACTCTGCAAAGTCAGAAGAAATCGATCTTCGTCACTTAAATGCTCGCAGAACCGAACGAATTTTCTTCACTTAGGCCTCAGAGTCCCATCCTAAACTCTGATTCACGTTTTATAACTATGTACGATTATTACAATTATTTTTCTCTTTCAATCGGAGCTTTTCTCCGTATCTATAGATAACGAGCAAAACAATATATTGATGTAGAGCATAACCAGATAGAAGATTCTCAACGATCGAGTAAAATTCAATCGCAGTCACTTCAAAGATCGCAGTATAGACCCAACCCTGCATGACCCATTGTCGCAGAACAAAGAAGGGCGTCTTAAATATGTTGCGTCACAGTTGTCTCACCTGTGGCATGTGTCTCATTTGCCCCCCCCCCCCCCCTCCTCCCAATTGTGCCACGTGCCACAATTTTTCGCTCAAATTGTCCCACTTTTCCCATGTGCCCCACTTGTCCAATTTGCCGCCCGGAGTGTCCCACTTGTCGGACGTATCCCACGTGTCCCGCTTGGAAAATGAGGCACTACATATATCAATTTAATATGTACTGGAATATCTGTTCGTCAATCTGAAAAAATGATCACCGTAAACATAGTTCGCAGAAAACTATTTAATCCTGTCTGTCTCCTACAATTCAAATAGGAAATAAATATTATCTGAATATCAGTATCGATGATCTTATTTATCGATGATTTATAAATAGTAATTACAATAGTTCAATCAGGTATAATTTACTTATACGCCAAATACCATCACATTGGGACAAGTATGGCACGTGGAGCAAGTGGGACACGTGGAACACGGCATTTCCGATACATTGAGAAAAGAACCCTGAAGGTCTGGGTAATACAAATACAAAATAGAATGCTCTCCTTGTTTTAACCGCTTTGTACGATGTGGTTCGACGGGAGCTCAAAGAAAACAGTAGGGGTTCGACAGGCTCACAAAGGTTAAGAACCACTGGTATGAGGTCATATCCAGCTATGGATAAAGCAGGTGAGGCCTCTCTCAGTTTGGTCTCAGAATCACCTATTACATCAGGAAATATTTGGATTTGGCCTATAAAAAATAAGAATATTTAAACTCGCCATGTAATTTGACATCATTTTGTGTGACAAAATTATCTGAATCAGTATATTCATTTTCAGTGACCATTCATCTCCACCAGTCAAAACGACTGCCTGAATGAATTAGCAGTGGAACAGCATTGATCTTTGATTACAGCCATGTTCAGGATGAGATATTTTACACCCATACCGGAAAAAGATAAAGCAGATAAAAACGTATCGCGTGTCACGGCGATTGTTAGAGCTCAATTGATTTTACGTTGCTTTATTAAAAAATGAGATATAAGAATTTTGAGAAATCTTTGGAACTTGTTCAAAGTACAAAATTTAAAAATAAGGAAAAATTTTCAATGGTCATTGACAATAACAGGCGATTCCGTACACATCTGCTTTTTAAATTTTAAAATTGGGGTAATTGTAGTGCGACCAATCATTCTGTCGCTTTGAGAGATGACAGACGGCGTAGTATCGACCTGAAGTTGAATCGGAAGATAAATGCGGTTCATAAACACTGAAACTGCTGGAGTTTGACGACTCTGAATTAAAGTTGGATATAACTCCAGAATCAACGGATGTATCAGGATTGTTGACAGACGATTCGTTTGACTTCCTTCTTTTTGATGGATTATGTTTTTCGTCTTCACTTTCGTTGTCGAGAATTGCATCAATTGTAAACCTGGCTCGCTTTGTGTTCTTCTTTAAGCTTACTCTTGGTAATATTTTCCCGACTGTTTTATTGTTGTCTGCTGTCCATAAAAAGAGCCTTGTGTCGTTTACTGGACAAAAAATCCCTGGATGCTCAAAATACTTAGGAGAAATAGGAGAAACGACGTTGAACATAGTACAATATTGGTGCCTGAAGAAATGCGTATTGGTCAAATTCATTATGTACCGTGCGGTATACTCTCATAAAGGAATTATCATGCTCTCCGTTGTTACCTTGGACTATTTAAGCGTATCGCTGCGATTAACTTGCACTTTTTATCGCACTAATTATTGCGTATTCCGATAAACATGTTGTTTTTTAATTGTTAGGCTTAGTTTTCACAATTATGTCTATTAACGCTCGATATTACCTCTAACGAGATCCAAATTCGCAGATAGACGTATATGTAAATTCAGATGTTCCGAATAATCAGGTTAGAGTGTTATAAATGTAATGGTTAAATTATCGTTATCAATGCAATCCGCACGATGCAACAATAATTAAACAACATGGATTATTACTTGTAGTGGAAATTATAATATATTTGACTGTGCGTTTCGATAAAACGGAATGTTTCATTTTCACTTTCTCAGGATTTTTATTGTCTACTGAACAGGCCCTATATGTTCCAGTTCACGTGGCTTACAGTAAAATACATATGTTTACACCACGTATTTGAATGAAGCGATATAATTCCAAGCAACTAGGAAAGTCCGACCTCTATAAAGGATGCGGATGCACTGTAAAGAACGACATGAATATATTCATCTCATTTAATTTTACGCTATAATGTATGTCTTTCGTCCTATAAAACCTATGATACAATAGGAACATTATAGTTCGAATGCGAAACAACCGAGAGTCTCTATTTATCTTGTTTTGTAGATATTGATTGTCCTTAGACTGGTTGAAACATGAATAGATAAATAAATGTACCAACTTATCGAACGTTAAGAGTTAGTTACACAAATTTAACTCAATAGATGTACTGTGGAATAAAACAATGTATATACCTTGCATTTCCCCTGTTGGTGGATATTGAGTAACCGCTTTACCGAACCGAAATAAACTTTATATATTATTAAAAGAACAGATTGGATTACATGTCATTATAAACGCTACAATTCCGTTAATTTTGCCTTTTTATAGAATCTAAGATAAGAAAGTTTTGTCAATAATTTACTCTAAATTTTGAATAGGATAAATACCAAATCTGGGAATAAAGTTCAGGAGTTCATTCTATTAAAATGGAACTGTATCTTCAATTTGTTTCAGTTTCACAGTTGTTTAAGTTTAGTAGATGTTGAAGGTTTGTAGTTATAGGCAGAATGATTTTGAACGGATGTTCGGATTGTTTCGCTAAGGTGTTGTTTTTAAGCCTAAAATTGAAATGTTGATTATGGAAATATTTTTATTAAGGTAATGATTGATATATATTTTTTGTATAATGTATAATAGCATTTGTGTGATCATGTAGTACAACAGAAAGATCTTACATTGTTATTTCAGTTTATATATATGGGAGCGTAGAATTTTAAGAATGTATTGGGTATTATAAATATTTTTCTAATACGGTCTTCTATGCCGTATTGATACATATGTCTCCATGAGATTCATTTATATATGTAGATTTGTCACTACAGTATTGGCTTCGAGTGAGAGCATCGAGCTGCATAAATTTCAGATTTAATCTTCATATATATTTTCCTCTTTACACATAAATTTAGATGAATATTCGATTTTTTTTATAAATAAATGAACAAAAAGTATTTTACCGAATTAGCCGTAGCGCATCGACGCTTCATGTTTCGAACTTGTTTGGGTTCAAATATTGGAAATTTTGAAAACTTGATCCAATACAGGCATGGCAGAAGCAAATCAATACGAAGATCTGCGGCTGGCAGAAGAGCCACGAGTTATTACTAGGGTTTACTACATTGATGCGATACATACTGAAAATCGTCATGATCATCATGGGGATATCATACACGTGTAAGTGAACAAACATTCTTCAAGTATCACTATTTTCATTACTCAATTTACAACCATTTCATGCAGGGTAGTGTGAACACTGCTACAGAAGAATACCTCTTGCCCAGTATTTCCCTAGTGTTTCTTATTCGAATTCTGGATATCGGTCAGGGCAAGCCGAGATTAACGAAAATATTGAATTAAAAAAGTATTGCTTGAGTGTAAAAAACTTATTCAATACGTTAATGATATGCTTATATGCCGATTTCTTAAACGTTATAACTTATATAATGTAACATTGATTTATAATTCAAGATCAGTTATGTAACGATTCGTGTTATTTGATATTACAGAAATCCCCCTACTCCCGGCACAGCTACTCAACTGGGTAAGTTGTCATAAATATATATCAATAGGAAGGAAAAAGCTTTCAAAAATGTAACTGTTTTATTCAAGTAAATTAAATTTTTCAATCAAAATTTATCTATAAAATTTTATCCTTTTATTTGTTGCCATTGGCAACGGCTGTTCATGGTTGAAAGTAGAAATAATGACATCTCTATAATCACAGAAAGCCAAACTTCTGGCGGAGGCACAAAAACGCTGGACAGGTGTCAACTCTACGAAATGGCTAATAAGGGACACAAAGCACTTCTACATGAAAATGAAGAAGCGTCCAAGTTTATCAGCCTATACCGGAAAGAAGGTACGGAATAATGGGATTGAACTTTATATTCATTAGGTCTACGCCAACGACCATGAATGCAAAACAACAATAGAGCAGGCAACAAAAGAACCTGTTCGACAGTAGAAACTCAAATATTCAACGACACTGTTGCGAGCTCATCGCAAGTACGACTACGAGTTCACTTGAATTGTGTTTTCAACCGGAGAAAACATAAAACCCAAAAGAACGTATTTAAAAGTGTGTTTAATGGATCGCGGTTTACACATGTGAAGGGGCATTCGCTAAATTTCTTTAACAGTTAACGTGTTAATCAGTTAGCATTAACTTTTTCGCAAATATCTAAAATGGAATTCACTAAACATCCTATAATTTAGAGAGATTTTTTCGTGCCAAATCGGAGGTTCTGACTAATTTTTATTTCTTTCTAGATTCTAGAAATTAGTATGTATCAATATTAATCGACGTGCTGAGACAAAACTGTACTGTCTAATCGGTTAGATTAGGACTTCATCATGTATGTTGGATATTATGGGACACAATGAGACTGGCAGAATAATATTGCACGAGTTCAAAGCCAGTTATATAGAATTTTCAGATTGTGACTCAATAATAGAAAAGTGACCTTGTTCATAGGCTACTTGTTGTTTCGCCTCAGATAACCCAGAACATACAGCACTAAGTCTACAAAAATGTTTTAATGTGGCCCATATTCAAAAACATGCATTGTCTGAAATCTAATCACCTGCAAACCTAGAGTTTGTGTGAAGGCTACCAGCTTCATCGCCTTATATTCGAAGATCGCATTTCCACCAACATTGCATGATACTAACATAGCATTCCAGTGCACCTAGAAGCTGATGTCGTCATTATTCCAGAATGATGGACTATTAGATTGTAAAACAAAAAAAACTTATTTATTCAACTTTCTATTCGACAGTGGTTTCAATACCGGAAGAAATTAAAGATGATTGGGCCAACGTTTTACCAGTAGTAAGTAAAACATGGGAGACACTTTACAATAGGATAATGGTAGACGTTCGCGACAAGAACTTGAAAGGTGAAGACAGAGTGAGAAATGCGCTGGCTTCTATATGCAAACATCTGAAGGAGCAAAGTATCGAAGAACTAGTGATAGAAGATGATTTTTTGCGCCAATTTGTCGGCCGAATAAAAGATGTAATGAACATGGGAAGTATATTAGCAGAAAAACAGATGAATATTCTTTCTACCATCTGATTTTATGTTGCTGCGAAACTCCACCACATCAGTGCAAAACGCAATTTCTCTGTCATCGGAATAAAGGAGAATGTAGAAAAAATAACATCAATTATTAAAAAAATGACTAAAGAGGACAAAGTGATAAAAAAAAGTCATTCACTGTTGTGTTCTACCCCTCCTGCTGGAGATATCTGAGTTGGTACCATGCGTTTCAGATGCAGAACCAGAAGTGAAAGTCATTAACGAAGTCTGGTGTTTGTATAACGTCGCTCTCTGCTATTACTACTGTGGTGTTCGAAAGAAATCTGTAACAGTCAACTCATCCGTCATTCAACTTATGGGAAATGAATATAGAAATGACGCCGCCAAACGTCGAGTATTCGGACATTGTCATCACAATGCTGCACTTGCCTACAGCGATAACAATAAATTTGCCGAGGCAATTAAACATTACAAGTTGGCCGTTGAGTCATAAGTGAAAGCCACTGATTGGGCCAGCGAAAATCATAGGAATGAAAAAATCAAACGCACGAAAGAATATCTGAGAAGAGCAGAAGTACGCAAAAATTGACATATATGAAAACACGTTTCTATTGTTCTAATACCTAATTACTATCTCTCTAACTCAATAAGTACTACAAATATCATTCAAAAATATATTATCAATAATTGCTAGATCGGTGTTTCAAAAGTGTTTCGTTCTTGCTCGGAATTATTCACAAAACTTAATATTTGTATTCAATATACTTTCTAACTTTATGTGTATTAATGAATAATTCTATTTGAAAACATGTAGACGATTGCTATGTATATATACGAGTGTAGGTCATGGTGAATCTGGCTTCAGAATGTGCCTTGTCTATGCCTGGGGCACCATATTTTTTGACTTCAAAGCGGGACGCCTCCAAAGACACGACCCCTTAGCTGTAATCCTGTAACCTTACAGTTCCAGATTTTACTACATAGGCCTACTTTGAACTCTGAATCCCCAGAACGACGATACTCTCTAACCCTGACCTCGCATCGATTCGACGCGGTAAAAAATTGTAATATCCCTAATTTTAAATCAATGTAACTTCCAAACCATTAGATATCAGATGGTCTGTCTGTAATATGTCTTATAAAAGCTTATCTAGTCTTTTAATTATAACTGGCATCATTTTTACGATATGTTTTGATGTTATGTGTAAGCCTATTTTTAGTCCCATCTACTATTTTTTTTTGTATTTTGATGAGATTTGACACCTTGTTAGAAATGCGTAACGCTTTGTGTAAGGTAGATTGCGCATCCGGTCGTTCACAGCTTAAGTTCAGATTGTGCCATCATTGTATCAGTATCATATCCTCGGTCTCATATAAACCGTATATTCAGACGAATGTTGATCGAACATGAATAAAATTGTTAAAAATTTAAAGGCCTTTTTATATACGTTTATTTTCTGAATATGGGACGCAAATGAATGGCCAAAGTGAAATATTTGATTCTCCTCATGCATTTATGAGGTTCTACCGGAAACATCAAGGCTAATTCTTCACCGTTGGATATTATTAAAATCGAAGAAAAAAAACTGATAACGGGAACGTGGAAGACATGATGGCACCTGTAGCTCACCTGGTCAGTGTTTTACTTTTTGCGGCCTCATTCGATTTTGGAAATTACTGCATTACACGCTACATTCTTGATATCGCTATATTTACAATGGATTCAACAATGGATTTTCCCGAGGAAATAGCCTATTGGATAGTATTCATCTATCGGAAGAAGAAAAGATGTCACAATAAAGTCTAGTATTGGCGCTAAACAATGCATCGAGCGATATGTTCCATCATTACGTTTTTAGAAATCCGTATTCTTGCTATTCCTATTTATCATATCTTTATGCAATTAAAACAGCAATAACACTGCATATTGTGTGTTGTTAGCCAGACAAATTTTGCTATTACTGTTTTTCATATATATATATTTTTATGCAATTAAACGGCAATAACACGGCATAATGTGTGTTTTAATCGAACAGATTTTGCGGGAAGCAGAAAAGTGATTTTTCTAAACAATCACTCTGGATGAGATATCGTATGTAGCCTACATACCAGGATCGCAGGTCACGGATTGTCCAGTTACTGTACCATTCAGTAATATATCTGATATCGCAGTAGTATATATACCAGTTATTACAGATCTATGGACTTTAGTCGGTGCTACATTATCTCACCCATGATTATTACTCGTTGAAATAGGGGTCCCACACACAGCGCAGTGCCAGTTTCACATACTGAGATGGAGCAAACTAATGCTGTTGCCACAAGCTGGGGTAAACATTAATCAATGAGATATTTCATTTGGTGCAAAAATAAATCAAATCAACATATGCAATAATTCCAATTTGTCATTCCCTGAAATTTCTGCAGCCTCATTTATTGTAGTGGTATAAACATACCATAGGGAAGAAGAACCACGGATTACACACAAATGCATTTGAATTGAAAAACATGTAGGCATAGATAGACTTACCATACGTCCCGCTTTTTAGCGTCTTGCCCCGCCGTCCAAGACAAGTCAGTCAAAAGTCCCGCTTTGGCTTTCAGCCATCCAGCATAATACACGATCATTACCAATCATGTTCTCGTTACTGTTGTTGCTGTGCGGCGCAGCGCTATCTCACTTACTGGTGGTGAATGCGTTATTCTGTTTCTTTCTCGTTTCCCATAACGTATCACATGTGAAATCAATACTAATTGGTCCTGTCATGAAACGTCTTTTTGAAGGAGGTGTTATCTACAGAAAAGCATGCTTGGGCGAATAAGTAAATTCTTAATGCTCGAAAACGGCAGGCTATTTAATTCTTTTCTTTTGCTGTACATAAAAAATCTAAATTCGAATTCTTTGTATCGTTAACGTCAATTTCTCTCTATTTTTCGAGCTTGACCGGATATTTGAACAGAGAATATGCGCAAGAACTCTCGATGACAATATGGTCAATGAAGACAGTCGGGATGGCTTCAAATATAGGTCTATGCAGTAAAATCGGAAAATGTAAGGTTACAAAATCACAGTATTTGGAGGCGTCCCGTTTTGAAGTAGATATATAATTTGATTGTTAAAAAATTCGAAATCACCGCCCTATGGAAAAATCCACGCAAAAAGTACACCAAAGCAGTGCCCAGGACTAAAATATTAACTATTGGAAAATCATTAGAATTGAACTCGACAGCTGGCGGAATACACCGAGCACTGCGTTGACTTCTATGGGCAATATTTATTATAGGAGAGACGGTAGAGGACCGACCAAAGCCCATGTATTCGTTTGAAACAACTCGCTAGCTATTGCGATACCGACTGACGACGGCGAGGTGTGACTGGCGACAACATAAGACTTTCATCTTCACCGGTACTAACATAATCTCATCCAAAGTATTTGCTAATAAAAATAGCTTTTCTCGCAACCAAAAACCTATAGATTCCAAATCCTCACATTTAAAGATGACCGAAGACGCCGGAAAACTGTCTATTTTTATTTCAAACTCGCTTGGACATCTACAGAACGATTGACCGTCTACGTCCGGGCCTCTTAACAAACTCGCTCGCTGTTCAGTTAAAATCTTACTTTACCGATGCAAGACCTTGATGTCCATATATTTGATAGTTGCTCTCTTGTTCTAGCAATCTCCATAGCGCTTTCTACTTTCGTCATCTATAGATGTCTACATTGAAAGATATATCTATTTTATGTTAATTGATTGTTGTAAATAAAATAATTAAATTGATATAGGCCTACGGAATACACTCATTCAAAAATACAGTCAAGAATTTGAAGAAAGAATGCACTAATGATAAAATTGAAACTTCACCATTGCAAATTTTTAGACAGGATGCAAGAACAGATAAAGACAGCCAGCAGATTAGTAAAAAAAATCACATATGTAACTTTAACTTTGATTTAGCTCTTTCAAGATGCGGCAATATTTCGCAAAAAAATACGACCGAATGAGAATATCTGGTTTCAATGAAAAATGGTATTTATGAATCCTGGTAGATAACTTATTTTAGCACAACACTAAGACTCAATTTTCGAATATGATTAAGATTTTCAACATCATTTGCAAGTAATATGATATGAATTCAACATAAATTGGGACGAGGTAAAATCAGAGACTAATGAAATATGACATTTGTCAGAATTTTGGTAATATTGTAGTTCGGCATAAACAGCTTTAGAAATATGCAAATAAATATTATCTCATGAAAAGTTTACTACACTGATTCTCTTTTAAAACAATTTTAGGCAGCACATAAAAAGTATGATTTAAAATTTAATCAGTGTAATATTGCTAGTCATGTGATATGGGGAATCTAATATTATATAAAAGAAACTTATCACAACTATTTCACAATAAAACTAACCTACAAAAGTTTTAGACAAAATTCTATTGTGCTAAACCTATCAAATTTCTTTTGAATTTACAATAAAATCATATCGTATTAAGTCGAACCCCTTTAAAAGGAAATATCTAACAATAAAATAACGGATGATCAAATATATTTTCACTAAATAAAATATTTTCAATAAAATAACGACTGTCCGTATTCAACAATGGCTCAAATATTGAGGTTTGCACCAAACCTGGCAAGGCGAAACATGATTTACTATGGTAAGCGAAAGCAGTAAAATCCGTCCTCGGCCATACTTAGCAAAGATAGAATTGCTTGGAAACTGGATGTCTGATTCATACTAATGCAATTACCAACATACAGTATTCCGCACACAGATATATCATAAACAGGATTTTTACAGTGAATAAAAAATTAAAATCTATTCAAATTCACAAACTTGGTTAAATGATTTCAAAAACAAAATTATAACAGGCATTGGATTGTACCAAATCCGGCACTATAATTTCATGAATATGAACAAAATTAGGACAATTGCAGGTATTTACTTACAAGCATGCATGTTTGCAAACTTCCAAGCAATATCTTTGCACATACAAAGTTTCAGTTTTCATTTTTGAATTCTTAGCAATTTTTTGGAAATTAGGGTAGAACTGCCAGTTTGTCTCCAAGAGGGTTTTATTTTAGATGCAGTGATCAAAAACGGTCTTGATAAAATGAGGATTTAATGCTAAAACTAATCAACAATTCATTTCCAATAGTTGCTTTGGTGTTTCAAAATAAGACAGTTTGCGATTCTTAAATAAAATGCATCATAAATCCTGCTATACTAATGTATAGCCTTAACCCATTATCGATTCTGCATCGGCTAAATGAGGTTATTATTTAACAAGTGCTTGGATATCAATTAACACTGCGGAGTAGAAGCAGCGAACAAATCGTAAATAAGAAAAAGAATAGAAAGATCAGGTGATATTAGTGTAGTTCAGAAAATATCTTAAAAATTCATTTCTGATTGGGTGAATACACAGATAAATCATGCCTTTTGATTTTGTCACTAAAATATTCACAGAATAGTTTAATTGCACAAAAAATTTTTTGTCTAGGTTATAATTTTTCTCATGCTTACAAATTAACACGAGGTATGGCCGAATTATTTAGTTATTGAATGACCAAGACATTGAATCAATGCGACTCATAAATTACAGTGTGTTCGTGTATTACTCTAGCTATTTGGTAATTCAACCATTCCTATTTGGTATTCAGGTTAGATGGCTGAATAGTCTTAGGCAATTGTAATTTACTATTATGCCATTTATTTAACAATAAAAAATTTAGCCTATGGGCTTTGGGAATATGAACATATGCATGTTGGGTGAGCAAATTTTTGGAGTGAAATTGTTTCATATTACTCCAAATTTGATGACATTTTTAAATTATCAACTATGCAGTAGATTATTCTGATTACTGTGCACTATTCTCTCAGTGAACTGGGTTACATAAAACAAAAACGTATTATGATTTTAGAAAGTTCTGAAAATGACAAGTATATTGAAGAGTGGATGGTTTCCAGAGTGAACCTATCGAAAACCTAGAAACTATGTTTATAAGCAACACTATTTGGAAAATTTGAGAAGATAAAGCTCTATAAATTCCAAAAAAAATAATTTGAAAACCAAACAATAATGCAACTACGGCTGAATAATAAAAATTTATGTTAGCTTAGTCTTTCTAGATATTAGTAGAGCAACAGAATGCATGTCAAGATTAACTTTAAGAAGCTTATAAATATGAGGCATTACGTGCATTTACCATTAATTCTATATACAGTGGAAAGCAGTAAATTAGGCTTATCAAGTGACAGAAAATGAGAAAAAACTGTCAGAAAGATTTCAACTCTTCTCAAACTACCGTTAAGAAGTGGTGCACCTTGATACTGCATTTTGAAGATAATTACGTATCACGAAGCCTGAATGGTTACCATTTACATCTCACTGGAAGCATAATATTTTCACTGATCACTGATGCTTTAAGACTAGTGAAACATGATATGGATGAGTCCATAACTAGTCACACATTGAATTAGGCAGAGATACTTGATCTTTTTTCCGTTCGATCGATATAATTTTCCTAGGGCGGACCAAGGATATCGACAGTGACATTTGTGTACAAAGGCTGCTGCTCAACGCTTAAAACCTGGAAAATAAAATATTTTATTGGAATTGAACTATACCGGTATATATTTCTATGTCAGGTTGTGTGACTATGATTGTCATCATGGAAAGTATCAAATTCGCCATACTCTCACTCCATTTTTATCCTGGTGAGTAAAGATGATAAAATTTAACCATATAGTGGAATACTACCTTTTGTCAGACTACTACAGGTCTAGGTCAGACAATAGTTAATTAGTTACATCATTCCATATGCATAGACTTAGATATGTAATCCGCCATGTGCTGGCAAGGATTCAATATCTCAAATGTAACGGATGTATCAATATCACCAAATGTATTCGAAATAAGAGTGAACAGTTGTATGACAGAGAACAGATTCCTAAAGCTCAACACAAAGTGCATCATTTACTAGATAATGTTTTTGAATTCATATATCTTTCCTGAGTGATGCAAGAGTTTGCTGGACGCTAACACAAATGTATTTTTTGTAACATTCCTAGGCCAACTCTTGAATCACTTGGAATAGTTATCTTTCCTCTTTCTACAGCAAAAACGCATAGAACAAACAGTGTTTCTTAACCAGAGTTCGATCGAACCTCTGGGGTTAGGTAAACTGTTCCAGGGGTTCGACGAAGGTCCTCTGAAATAATCCTACGCTATGAAGTCTTCCATTACCCAGATATTTTCGTATGTAAAAATTACTATATTTTACCGCAGATATCCGAACTTACACGTTCAGCATATAACTATGTTTCGCACAGATAAAAGTTGTATTGGAGCTGTCATTGACAGCTATATCTTAATTCCCAGTTCATCGGAAATGCGATGTATCGCCACAGGTCTCACGCTTTGTGTACTTCTGCATGATAGCATTTAACATCCTTTCTACTATCTTATCTTAGGTTGTTGTAACAAACCTCACAATTTTAAGTTAAAATTTTGCGCCAACGTTCAAATTCATAATCTACCAGTAAAATGTAGCTCATTATTATGAACAAGTTGAAAATTGGAAGTGAGTGTACACGAATGAATATGAAACCTGGCATAATTGAAATTCAATAAATGATAGAATTAGCAGAATTTCGTTTGGAATTATCATCACCCGTCCTGGATGACTTTACTATCTCTATTTTCTATTTCTTTAAAACAATCTTTTTATCCCAGTGTCTCTAACATGGGTTCGATCGAACTCCTGGGGTAAATAGAGATCTTCCAGGGGTTCGACGAAGGTCCTCCTCTAAGGAGTTGTATATCATGAAACCTTCCCAAGACCCAGCCTGCAGATATAAAAACTTAAACGTTCAAACAACTCACAATACTGTGTGTAGCTTCCAAAAAGGTTCCCGACCCCTGCTGTAAATGAATGTTACAACTTAATAATTCCAGTACACTCCATCGAACTCATATTGTCACAGATGTTGTACGCTTGGATGTACTTTTTTATTATAGCGCTTACAGGTGCTTCATGCTTATGGGTACAAAATGTCTTAAGGGGATTGTCTTGAGGTTTTATGTTAAGTAGTGCTTGACCGAAACCTCATTCATGGTCTACTGATATAATGTAACTCAAGTTAACGGACAAGTCGAAGACAGAAAGTAAGTGTACTATACATGAATAATATAAAATCTGTGCGTGTTCGAATTTCACTAAATTTGTTGCTAAAAAATATGATATTGCACAGCTTTTCTTAAAATTATCAACATTCGGTCTGGACAACCACAATATGGCATTGAGTCATACGATATCCCTATTTCTATAAACAATAAACAAACGTTTTTATCCGCAGTTCTTTGCAATTTGAAGTTATGGAAACGAATGACTTGAGCTACAATTTTGAGCCAACATATCATCTTTCGGATTTCCGTAGTAGCAATTTTTGCATTATCAGTTTTTCGCCCTTTTTTTAGGTCACATGACCTAATAACAAAAAGCATCTTCTTTCCACTGCCGCCGACACCACACAACAATGACTATTTCGACACACACCCACACCACGATGATTCTTTTCTATAATTTTGCGCAAAATTAGCTTCGTCTTCGTAAAGTTCTCATTGAGCTTCTAGTTTCAACCGCTCAATACGATGGGGTGCAGGATTGCAGAATAGCGCAGGGGTTCAGCAGGATCGCAAAGGTTAGGAACCACTGGCATAGAACGATAAGCCGTTAGTCCTGTATAAACCCAATCATCATATATCTTCAGCATTCACAGCAAAGACCATAAAAAGTAAGCAGAATATAGAACACTTTTTATGTGTTCGATTAATTGGAAAATTTTATGGCAATAATCATTTCGATTTACAAACCTTATATTGTATACTATTCAGTCCATCTTTTTGATATGTTAGTCTCGTTTTTCTGATCATTTCAAACCTTCTCGGATTTGCTTCGTTTCCTTTCTCATGTTTATGTGTTATCATTTTATACCTTAACATGAAAAAAGAGATATTATCATTATCATCATATGTCCCAAATATATAATGCACAAAACAAGTGTATTTGCAATATATATGTTATAGAGCAGGGATGGTGAACCACTGACCCGCGGGTCACAAAGTGACCCACCGCGTTTTATTCGTGACCCGCCAAGGCACGAATAAAATAATAAAAAATGCTAACATATCAGTGATAAAAATTGACAAAACCGGCCTTAAATTAATTCAACAATACCTAAACTATTATAATCTACCGTCAGTTGGGCAGTCAGGGCTGCGAGGGCTCATATTCAAATTGTTAATTTCGGGCTGGTATGGTAATTTTCAAAACCCCTAATCTTGGACGCATGTCTGCACCGCTGTGAACCATTATTCAGCTATTGGCTCTGATATCGTTTATGACATAACAATGCAACTGATATGTAAATTTGTCGCTACGTCTGGTCTCTTTCGGAAGTTTATCTGCAGATTGTTTTAGGGGTTATGCGAGAACTAGATACTACTTTGTATTTTATTAGTTTCTCGCCCACAATACCGTTAAGAGAACAAAATCTTTCAGACTTGAAATAAAAGCCTAGGAATCTGAAATAACAATGGGGCAGTGTAAAAGTGCCTTAATGAGGTTGAAAGTTGATCGAAAAATAGAACACTGTCAGGGTGGGATTTCCTCCAAACTCTTTGGAACCGTAAAAAAATTTACCGCATCATCCTAAACGTTATGGTAATTCATATGCGTGTTTTTGCACTCTAATTTCATAAAATCGAGAGCCATAAAAGGCCATAAAAGGTCCCTGACAGAAGTGCTCCATAAGTAAAGCCTGAAACTACACCAACAGAAGCCTAAAAGATTTGTTTCAGAAGTTTCTTATAGATACAAACATTGATCATATATCTGTGACCCACTCTCTTCTGTTCCGCGATAAAAATATAATTTTTGACCCATTCATTGAAAAAGGTTCGCCATCCCTGTTATAGAGAATTGTTAGCTTTGGTTGATTGCCCTCAAGAAGATTCCCACAATATATTCTCAGTTTAATACACAATCTCGCAGTGAATGATAATTTAATATTCTGATGCGACATTGGAAATGACATCGTATCGATTTTTTTACATTTCAACTCCCGCGGATGCAAATTAGTTTAGTTTAGGCCAGAATAGAAAAGAAAGGTGAATAGATATCTCATGAATAATAAAACAAATGGCAAAAAGGCCAGTGAATTATTGACGACCCCTCTAGCTTAAATCTTAATTAGATCGAGCATAGATCTATGATAAAAAACAAAAGCAATTACTGCCCATGTTTGATCCAATAGTAATATTCAATTAGAAACGGAGTAATATTAACAGGAATTTAGACAGGGAAGAGATACATTTAACACAGATAGAGTATCATAGGTGTATGGCTTAGGATCGCGACAAAATGCTTTTAAATAATGAATGTACAAATTGGTCTTGGACTATTATTGGTACAGCAGCATAAAAATATGAAAATAGACATAAAAAAATTTGCTGAAATTGAGCCGATACACAAATCACAGTAAATGACTATCAACTTATATATACTTTTCAACGAGTTGGCTCGGAATGGTAAAGCTTGCTGTAATTCAAACTTGTTTATTTAAATAATATAATCTGAATCTTTGGGTACATTAGAAGATGAATTGTAATTGTATCCAATTCTTTAGTTTATTACAATATCATGCTTTTCCCAATTCCACTTGTTGGACAACAATTACCGTAAATGAAAGTAAAAGTAATAGTAAAATACTATTCAAATATACCAATCAGAATATTGTCCTACTTACATAACATATCAGTTTAGAAATTTTATTATTTAAACAAAAAAAATTGAGTGGGAAATTTGAATAAAAATGAAAATCTTATGTTAATATCCTATTGGTGTGTTTTTAAAAATCTCACAATCTGAATGGTATTGAACACAATACAAAAAATTTTTTTTGGACAGCTGTTGCATACATATTCAAACAAATAACCATCTGGAAACGGATCTCCAGAACAGGACAATCTTTATAGTTTATACAATTTTTAAGCCTTACAAGAATTGCACAGAGGTTCCTCGAGCCTCTGGAATGTTCCACTGGGGTTCAGGTCCACCAAAGATGGTTGCAAACCACTGTTCCAGAAACAGTGAATAATAAAACAAAATTCAGCTTTGAAAAAAAGTTTTTTCATGATCATTTAACTAAAATTGCGATCAATCGGGGTCACCAGGTTCATATCACAGGATAATGTCAACTTGTGACATAGGTAACGCCAAACTTAAATATGTACAGGCTATAGAAATACTTGAAATAACAGAACGATTCAAACCAAAACAAACAGTTTGAAAGCGTGAAGAAAAACAACTGATCGTGCACAGAACAACTACGGTAAGTTGATCACATGTATTTTTATAACATTAGAAAAATGACCTATACTCAAAATGCCAGAGCTAAAAATTTCGAAATTTTGCCAACTATTAGTTCAATTGGAAAATAACATTTAACGGGAATGACATTCAATACTCTTTTTATACTTAGAACCTAAACTGACAAAATAGTAAGCAAATTTATTTAAGAAATTTTAAGCAAATTAAGAGAAAGTGAAAGTTCCTATTCCTATTTATTGGCAGAACATTGTTCCATAATCATCAAATGTTAAAACAACGGTTTACATGATACCAACTTACTACAGTCAAAGTGAATTATTCAAGCAAAAGACAAAGCTAAAAGTGCAATAATATAATCACATACCGACAAAAACGAAACCTCATTACAACATAATAACTGTCTATGATCAGCTGATTATAAAAAATCCAAATGGATTACATAATGACATGATTAATTAAATAATAGAAGTACAGTTATAATGTAAAGAGCATGTAAAACATGGTTGTATTATTGATTTTTGACCAGGAGTGTTTACAGCTTTCGAATATTGACTATATAATTAACCACCAGTCAACACATAAGTGTTGTATTATATAAACTCATTAATAATGAACTTGTTGGTATTTAATGGTTTGATCAAATATTGGCAATACAGAGTTCAGGACTCAACACAATTATAGCAAATACTATCTTTACATAACCTATTACCAGGAATGTCCAAAACAAATCGAATATTCGAATACATTTGAATTTTATTACATTCAATTTTTAAAAAAATTTGAATTTAGGAATAATCCAGAATATTTATATTTGAAAATTAGAGATTTTGAGCTGCTAGAGACAAGCAGATCAAATTGTACGATATCTCAAATAATAACAAACAACACCGTGAAAACGATGACCTTTATATTTATGTCGTTTCAGATGTGATCAAGATGAAGATATAGTTATTTATGTGATTTTACATATGAACTTGCCCCAATTTAGAATGTTTTCGATACATATTAGAAAATATTATTTCGGATTGTATTCAGAATAGTGAAATATTCGGTTTCGGCTATTACCCAGAACTTTGCACCTATGTTGCTGTGAATTCACAAACATGAAGGTACTCTGTAGGTATATTTCACATCTTATGATATACATGACACATGGTTCGACCTTTTTGAACGCCTTCCTGTAATTTACCGACACGGTGATATTAAAACTTCCTGCATCAATATTTTATGTAATAAATTATATTAGAGTATGCATCATGGCAAATTAAAGCGTTTATTAGTTTGATAAAATCAAGTCAAACCGTTAAATTTCAATTACTGCATTTAAATTAAATTTTTCAAATTGACCCTAATTTTCAACTTTCAAAACTAGATTATGATTCTTTTACAATGTCCTGAGAATGCCCATATAGTACTGTGATAATTTAACACGAAAGTCTAGAATATTGTCATAAAAATTAGTTATGATTTGAAAGACCCTGATCAACTATTTTGCTGATGATAATTATAATTCTAGATTTTAATTGAATAAAATTTAGACATTAATTCTGATTTAGTATGAGAACGAACAAATGAAAAAGGAAATTTTGTTCATCATGGGTTCTTACACACACCTTTGAATAGAAAAAATAATTTAAATTCTGTTTGAACTATTTCTAGACATCCCTTGTTACACTCTATTAAACAAGAATAAGCACATAACGGTACCAGTTTCTGTATGGAAATAAAAAATCAACTTGAATTATAACTACCGCCACCGGTAGGAATTTTTTTACAAATTTCAGTCACGTCAAAAATAAAAACTTAATATAATATGCGATCATGTGATAATGATGGAAAATATTGTAATCAGGTGTGGTCCATGCTTAAAGAATAAATTTTCACTAATTCCATTTACTCAACTCAACACATGAATGAGCGACCTGATATTTATGCTTGATTGGAAACACGCCTTAATGTTTACAAAATAATTACCCTACTTGATTTGTATAAAAATCTAACAGCACGAATTCATTGAAGGGAAAGACCGACACAAAGTGATTATTCAATGAAGCATTATCAGATATATTATATTAGACCACTATTCCTCTAGTTCAACGCTAGAGGTTAATGCTTTGGTGGAAACGAATGAAGTGAAATAAAAGAAAATGAATATTTCAAAAATTAAAAAACCACCATTCTTCCTATTTCAAAATACACCTTAAAATGAGCAACTTTGTCCTACTGCGAGTATTTATATTATTTGCTGATTGAATCAATGCCAATTATTCAACTAGCAATGAGAAACTGCCACTCTAGCGCAGACTAAAAACTAAATTAAAATTTTTTTTAGTAGTATAACACATAACACAATAACTATTATTTATTTCAACTACGAAACACCCACTTCAAATCTATTGACCATTGAGTTTGTATCTTAACTACAAATCTATTGCCCATTAAGTTTTTATCTTCACTTTGTCAAGGATGCTTGACTCTCTTGATAACACAGGCAAATAGAGCTTTTGTTGTTATAATTGCCTAAATTTGTGTTGCTAATTTCAAGAATTTCAATCACTTATTTTTGATGATGTAGCCACTATATGAATTTCATTGTATGATTATAGGATTGTTCGAAGTTTTTATGAAAGTTCTGACAATTTGAATAAGCCGGAGCCATTGTGATCAAAGCTCAGCTTCATGCTCTATACTAGGGCTACTCGACTATTTTCACCGAAGGTCCATATACAAAATTTTAAAATTACTGGGGTCCGGTCATTTCAAAAATATATTTCAACTATGCAACGAAAATTTGAATGCATTGCTTGACAATGCATTCTTGCTCGTGCTTCGGTGCTCTGACATTCTTTTCCTCGGTGGAATATGTCGTGATTATGAAATAAAAACCAAATAATGCATCCAAAGTCAAACGCGGCTGTAGTCCAAATTTAATACTCAAAAGTTCTGGATTCGGACCAAGGTCCGCCAGTTGAGTAGCCCTGCTCTATACAATTCTGTTTTTGCTCTTTCACTAATTACGATGAGTCATGGGTTCCATTATTTTAGTGCCATCAAATCTTAGCATATTGTCAAGAAATGAAATAAATTATTCAACAGAAAAACCAATTATTATAATTTGGCCATAGTAGAAATAACTTCTCATTGTTATTCAAAAATTCTCGAAATACTCACACAAGATTAATCTGCATCCATTGTGATAGCCAGGACGAGGGCGCCAAAAACTAGGTTGCTGGATTGCGTTTAAATAGAATTAAGCATCCTTAACTAATAGGTCTGAAGTACACACTTGAGACTTGACATTGCGGAAAACCATTATTTAATTGAGACCACCATTTTACTCAAAGAATCACTTGAAACCAAATTTCATTCTAAGTTTGTTGAGTATAATCAGGAAATTGGTGTACACTGCATATCCGATGAATTAAAAATAAGAATAGTGGCATGTTGAAATATATACCAGAGCTTGATATTCAACAAATTTTACTACAATAAAATCAAGTCATTTCAACAGCATTTCATTAATAAAAATATGAAAACAACTTGTAGCACTGAAGTGATATTACCTACATCGCTACATGCATACTTTATTGTTCTTATTAAGGTTTACTTAAAATATTATAAACTCTATTTATATAATCACATATAATATTAATAACCAAGGATGGCAATTTGATACCAAAATCCGAGTAATAACCAAATTTGCTGTAAACCAGTCTTATATTATAAACCAAATCGAGAGTATTTGAGATAAAAATAAAAATTATTTTATGTAGGCTACATTTCAAATATTTTAAGTAAACATTTTTATGACGAGTCATAAAACAGACTGTATAATGCCCTCTTATCTCCAATTATGTTTAAAAAAAATCATAAAATCTACCTCGCGATATTCATTGGATATCTTATAATTTTAAATCCCTTAATATTCAATCTGTTATAGACATCGTCGTCTTCTCCTCCCCAACCCCAAAATTCATTTGAAAATCCGTTAATTGCTTCCATATGTTCTTTCGATAATAGTGTGACACCACCTACAAAGACAAAAAACTCATGAATCTGTCTTGTTCAGCATTGCCTAGGCCCTAGACAGTTTATTACATCCTGGGCGAGCTTGGGGGGCATGAGATTTGAAACAGAGATGTGTAAATTGTGACGACAACCCAGTGAAGCCGAACGCTTTAACCATTATGTTAACAAACATTCTGGGCCAAAAGCTGGGTTAAGCTGACAACAGAATCATGTCAGGTACATAATCCAAGAATCATTATCAACAATGCTGATCCATCTTTATAATGGGAAAAATAATAATTATTACAACTATTTACAAGATTATACCAGAAAAGGAAAGACATAACCACACGGCTGGACATGAACCAAACACGAATTACGGTAAATATTCGAAATTGTTCAATAAGAAACCATATGGAAATGCTATCAATTTGTTTAACATCTCAAAATATCTATTGTTTTTTTAAGACATTTCAAATGTACTACAGATAAGGCCTTATTGAAGAATAGTTTGATGCCTTGACCCAATAATATTTTTGGATCATCCGGTTTTATTCAAATATCTACGGTAATTCAAAATTATAAACTTGAAATATTTACAATATAAATTGAAATAGTATGAAAATTAAATAGTTGTTTATTGTCCATCATTGTATCTATATTTATTGAACTTTAATAAAAATATTTCTAATATTTTCAATAATATCATTCATAAAAATAAATATATTCTATTAATAAAACTCACCAAATATGGAGGAATAAGGCAATACATAATTAAATTTATCGACTCCAGCTGACAAATGCCGAGGACGATCCGAGCACCAATAAAGACTTCTATCATCTTCTAAAACTAAATCAACGTCATGAAACGCAAAACAAGTAAATGGATACAGTTTTAGTGCCTCTAAAAATCCTACATTCATCAACTTTGCTCGATTGAATTTTCCGTGGCCAGCCTAAAAAGGATAAAAAAGAGAACTTCTATTAGTTGTTTTTAATATAGAACCGCAATCACTGCGGCACCAATGTTGGTCAGACTAATAAGTTAAAATACCCTGAATAGAAAATGAACTGGACTTGGTTATTTTTCATCAAAACATCTCTAGCGACACCAGGTCATAGGTTATGGCCTAGCATTTTTTCTTGGGCCAAAGATGATTCAAACTTCAATTACTTCCTGGTTATTTCCTGTTTATAAGGTTCATAGACAACAAAAGTGATAACAACAACGTTTCAGTAGGCCTAATAAAGAAAGTTGATAGGAGTTCAAAATGATAGCATGGTTCCAAAAGGCAAGAGACACTATATATACATACCGGTATATGTATACAGAGACTAAATAATCTCAAAATCACTCAATTAATATGCAATAGAAAGTAAAAAGCATTACTTTTCCTATAATCGAGAGACAACTAAAAATATTTACTATTTCCTTAATTATAGGAGTAATAAAAAATACTCTTTTTAACACTAGAATATTCAGAACGTTTTTCTTTATTAAATAACTTTCTCAAATATTTGATTATTCCATAACATAATCGAGTGAACTTTTACATCATAATTGAATGTTTTTCTATGGGGTTTGGTCTCTATTCAATGTGTGGAAGCAATAAAATCTAGAAAATTTATTTCTTTTGAAATAAACCTATAAAATGATCAATTACAAATACCGGTAAGTTATACATGACAGGATAAAATATGATGAATTACTCAGGGAGTCCAGACTATTCCAAACTTTTTCATTTAGTTATGTTTCAACATACTATCAAATAGGTTTCGATGAAATATAACCATGTGACTCTTAGCAAATGGTATTTCAAGTGGAAAAAGGCAAGTATCTCAAGGCAAATACAATAAATAATAACCCTAAATTAGTTAGGGTTGAGCAAACTTGACTTTTCTTTACTAATAAGTAAAACGAATATTTTTGATCAATCAAATGGAATATTGTGTTTGTATGTTAAGTAGGTATACTGCGAAAATAATATAATCAGTAATTGTTAAAATATATTCTGATTCAAGTTCTACTTATTATAATAATAAATTTCCTTGAGAGAATAATTGTATCATAAATTTTGAAAATTCATTCAAAATAAATTTTGACACCAATCTCTCTTTTTTTATTTGCAATGACAGACGGTTGTTAATGAATACTCTTCAATAGGAAAGATAATTTACAACTTACAATTTACAGAATTTGACAGCTGTGAAATATTTGTTTCTAAATATTGTTTCATTTAAAAATACTCTACTTGATAATAGTAATACAGTGATACCTAGGTAGTTGAACGACCTGATACTGGAATATTAGATAGTCAGTCAACCAAAAAATTCTTCAAAAAATGTTGCGGTACTTGAACTGAAATTCGGTGCCCATACACTCAACCTGAGTGAGATGACGTCACCCGGATCGTGTATCTCGGCAGCATCTTGACCATTCAACAAGAGAGCGAAGCTCAAATATATGGACACGGAGGCCAAAAAGAAGTAGTACAGATATGCATTCTGTCACAGTTGACTAATTTGATTCACTAACGCAAAAGTGGAACCGCCACAAGGTGCCCAATTCTTGATGATGTCATCACAAACAAAAACGAATCCCAAAGAGCCTAAGGAAATGTGCTCAAACATACAGTAACTGATACTAAATTCTTTAAATTTTTATTTCTATTATGTTCAATCTTCCTTATGTACACATTTTAAACAATTACCGGTAATAATATTTGTTGTTTAGGTACACGTTTTATCAATATTTTTGGTAATTTGAATGCATAACAACGAATCAATAAAATATTCAGTTACCATTGTTTGAAGTATGTTTGTCTACCGAGGTATCACTGTATAGGGATTATTACTAGTCAGAGTATTCTCAAGAACAGAAGGAACAGAGTATTATTAAGCAGGATAGGATTAATCACTTCCTGCTGGTTATTTACTAATCACACAAAAAAAAATACCCATACAATATAGAGTTTTATATGGTTAACAACAACTTAGCAGTTAGCACTAACATATTATTTCATGATAAATATTATAAATCGTTTGTTATAAATTTATACAAATTATATTATCACTCTATTGTTTGTCTGTTTTTTAAGTGTAACACTAAATTTGGCCTACCCTTTATATCTGATGCACTTTACTCGATTTATAACCCAGAGGTAAATATTTTCAAACTAAAAATGAAATTTTGAATTTAAAATATTTTCAATTGTATTTTAAATAACATTTGTCCTACCCATTAAATGTAAAAATGTTTGGAAAAAAAAATTACTGAAATAGGGTTACACAATACAAAAGTATTACAGAAAACGTGTCAATTACCGGTATATACATATTAAGAACAGAAAGTGGTCACACCCGAGCTATATATATCACTTATGGCTCGGTGCTTTAATTTGCCTCAGGTGACACACAAGAAGTCAATGATAAATATGTTTAAAAAAACATGTAAGCAATCAGAAACAGAATTATATGTCAGTGTACACAGAAATATACCACACAAAACGTCTGCTGGAGTTGACATGTAGTTGCAAAAAAAAACGAAATTCATTAGCCCAAAATTTAGATATTGACAACATTGGAGATTACTTCTTAGCTTAAACCTGACTTAAAACTATAAAAAGCATCAGCGGCTCGTTATAAGAATTCCATTAGAGTACAGACAGCTTTTAAAGTTTAATGAGGCAACACAAGCTTTAGGAAGCTCACAATAAACAAATCTGAATATTTTACACCATTTAACAGCATTTTTTTGCATATTAAATTTTAAACCGTTACATACCTGATTAATGATAAATATTTGATAATCAAGCTGTTGCCTCTGCAATATAGGATGCATATATTCAACAAAATATTGTAAATGTTGAACTCTGTCCCGATATGGAATAATAATGGCCAGCTGGAAATAAAAATAAATGCTGATTTAAAGTATAGACTAAACGAAATTGTTCTATTGGTAACACCTAATATTTATTATATCGAAACAAAATGAATATTATTAAAGATCTAAGTCAACATCTCTCAATTCCAATTACATCCTTGTACTTAATGAGTGATTTGTGCATTTAGACGTCAATCAAGTCCCAAAACAAACATTGTCATTAGCTAAATGTCATGAATAATGACATATCTTACTTTATGTCTTGCTAGACAAAGTGGTGGCTTCGCATGCCCCCCCTCTGTCACGAGAGGATTATTTAAAACTGTCTTCTCAAAACTATCTGGTGGATCTTTGAATGAAATTGCAAGGGGTCCCTGAAATATAAAATTCGGTGAATTAGGACAATCTGAGTAAATCATAATCAACTAAGAGTAACAAATCATAAGTAATTTAGTGCAAATGAAAACGCATCAAATGGCAGTGGGTTACACATGTATGATATAATAATATTATTTGGCATAAACCAAAAAGTCACACGCTACACTGCTACAAAAGTTTTCTATTGAAACCACATTAAAGAACATAACATACAATACCTGTAAATTTGGTGGTTCTGGAGGACACTGTGACAATATAGAACCATCCTCAGCAACATAATGTGAATCAGTAGTTGGAAAACTGGTACTAACAACTGTTGTGGGGTTAGCAACAGTACTTTGAGTCGTTGTTACTACAGCTGTTGTAGCATTAGTTTGTAATTTCAACACGGTTGTGTCTTCTTCAGCTTTATTAATTACAGTGGTTAAGGTCGGCGAGAAATTTGATAGTGTTTTATCAGCATTCGTTGTAAATACATTTCTAGTTGAAATTGTTGTTGAACTGACTGTAGTCTCATCGCTGAAATTCGATTTCGTAAACTGATGCGTTGCAGTGGAGAAAAACAACATACTTTGAGTAGTTGTTAAATTAGTGTTCACTTTTTGTCCAAATACTTCCTCCATGAATACATCCTTATAAGAGTTTGTGAATTTCATAATATAGTTATCAGAAGTCACATAATAATATCCAAGTATAGGTAGCTGGAGAAGTAGTAATAATACAATGCAGACAACCCGAATTCGAAAGTTACAGCACATCCATTTATAGGGAATCTCTGTCAAATCTGTTACACTTAATGAAGTTCCGTTTCCGGTGCCTTGTCTGGTTACTTCCAGTGTGGGAGCCTCGATCAGAAGACGCTCTGATTCAGTCTCCTTATTCGACATGGCCAGATGGCCCCACTAGCTGGTCAGATCCCACTCCAAGAATCCTAGTTATATATGCATATGGGGTTAACAGTGGCAACCAACCTGTAACTTAATAAATGTATGAAGCCTACATCTGAAATATTTATTTTAATTTATTAATTAATTACAAATAATGATGCGAACTAAACTTCAAAAGACAGATAATAGATTGTGTCATGAAAAGGATCAAACACAATTTGAATTAAACAACTAGATTAGTAGATTATCAATAACATTGTATATTTCATTATGGGTATAATATGGGGGCGCAATGACCTAACAGTTGAAGCAATAAATGTAACCATGTTGGGATCACAATTCACAGATTACACAGCTCAGGTTCATCAAATCCTATGCCAACCACCACACCCAAGTTAGAAAAAATTTCAATTTGTGGTTGCAATGCTGAACATTATATATCATTGACTGTTCATATTTAAAAGCATAAATAAGATAAGCATCAATTAAAAAAGTATTCATTGACAGTGGCATATTGAGTATACAAGGTTAATTGAGTACATTTGTATGTAAACCTCGCTAACTTTGTTGTATGTTGAGTAAACGATTTGTCCTTTGTAGCAACAATAGCTTATAGGTTTTTGATTCATTTCATTGCATATAGCTCACATGCCTACCTATCATGAAATTGTTTTAGGTGTTTGTATCTGAAATTTTTTCTGTTTGAGAAAAAAATTGTTTTGGAAACTTTCATATGACACCTATATCAGGGTTGTCCAAAACGAATCGAATATTCGAATGTATTCGAATATCAAAGTATTCGAATACCTTTTCGGCTGATTTTCGAATAATTCCGAATAGTAGCCACTTTTCGTCGTAAACGTGGTGTTTCGTTTTACGGGAATATTCAAACGACTTTTTACGCTGTCTCACGTATTGTAATGACGATGAAATAGAATCGGCATTTTGATTGTTTATATTCTGTGCGACGGTACGTCGCATAGTGTTGCGACATATTTGCACGTTTGCGCGGGTGGACATTGCCGACATTCGTCTACAAGGCTTTTAATTTACAAATTCATTTTCATTACGTCAAAAATTCGTCTAATGAGTCGCTTTTCTAGGCGGGGTGGGGGCGTCTAATTGAGAAAGTATGTTTATTTTATTTCGATGTGGCCTGCTTTATATTCGCATGAGTCTTCTCAAACATGATTTGTGTAACCTTATATTTGGGTCTTAGGGCCTGCCAATCATGATATTTAATCGCAGGCCGGTTATCGTTACTTTAAAGAGAAACACGGCCACCGAGATAAAGTGATTTGTGACCCTTTCGTTTTGCCGATTCAGCAAAACACGACAGGGACAGGAAAACACAGCTGTGAAATAACCCGTACAGTGTAGTACTTATCACATTTCAAAATTATTTCAACATTCGGGTTAATAGGTTGTTCAAAATGATTGCCGCTTTACAACTTAAATTTACCGCTCAATTGTTATATATAGTTAACTGATCTGGTTCTAAACATATAAAATTATTAGCGCATATTAGCATAACTGAACAACAGGGACCCAATTTTTTTACCCGTCTTATTGGAGGCCTATATGGAAAAACCCCTTTTTTGAGTGCTAAAAATAGACATCGTCCTATTTGCCATGTGGACTTATTAGCCGGGAAATACGGTATTTATAGCCGTAATTGTTACGTATCAAATAAATTGTCACAAGTTGGAAAAAAAAGTCGATTTATTAGAAAATAATTTCTGGCAAATAATTTTGATAACGATAGTTAAAAGTATCGATTATTTACCAAGATGATTTTTGTTGCGCAAAATAATCCAATCCATGACTGGTAACAGCATTTATTAAAATGTCATGCTGTATTAATTTAATTCTGTTCAACGTAACTCATGGTTGTATCGACAATCTGTGGACATAAAATGTGTGGTGAACTGACCGATATTATTAAATATCGATTCCTATTTTCATATTGATAAAATAATGAAAGTATTAATACCAAATACCACGGGTATTTGTGGTCATGAAAATGTAGTAAACTGCCCAATTAGAATTAAATTCTGATTCGTATTTACAAAATAATAAAACTATATTTCTAAAATGCAACGGCGATCTGTGGCCTTAAAATGTGTGGTAAACTGCCCGATTTACCAACATTTGAGTTATGATAATAGAATTAAATTAACACGGTAAGGCATTTCAAATAGAGGTATCGGTCATGGATTCGAATATTTTGCGCAGCACAAAATCATCCTAGTAAAAAGTCCATACTTTTAAATACAAACCAATAGCAACCATTATCCAAATTAGTTCCCAAAATGCGGGATAAAGTATAAATTATTTTCCAACGTGTGACTATTTTTTCGTGAGTACGAAAATAAGAATTAAAAACTAATTATATTCGGCACAATATCATGGCAATCTGTGGACATAAATTGTGTGGCAAACTCGCGATTAATATTATTTTTGATTCCTATTTTCGTATTTACAAAATACAACGGCGATCTGTGAACTTAGAATGTGTGATAAACTACCCGATTATAAATAGTTTTTGATTCCTATTTATAAAATAATAAAAGTATTATTACTCAAACATACAACGGCGATCTGCGGACTTAAAATGTGTGGTATAGTTCCCGAATATAATTAATTTTTGATTCGCATTTTTGTACTCACAATAACCAAAATAACTCATACTTTATCCCGCTTATCGGCAAATAACTTGGATAATGGTCGGTGTTTAATTAACAGTATGGGCGTTTCACTAGGATGATTTTGTGTTGCGCAAATATTCAAATCCATCACCGATACCACTATTGCCGTATTAATTTAATTCTGTTAACATGACTCATGGTATATAAAATATATACTGGAATATGAAATGCCTGGTAATAAAGCTAGGTTGTAACTTCTAGATAGCAGTTATTCCATTGCTTATTGTATGGAAATTCCTACATACATTTAGATAAGCTTCAATTAGTGGATTTTATTTTCGAAGTATTCGAAATTTCATATTCGAAAAAAATAATTTCGAATGTATTCGAAATAGTGAACTATTCGGTATTGGCCATCCCTGACCTATATATTTGTATATTTAAAAATTTTCCTGGTGCCCTTTGGCACATACTGATTAAGACTCTAAAGACGCCAGTGGATAATTTCAGTATAACTCATTGTCTTTTTTTACTTATCGATCTTAAGATCAGTAAGTATATTGATAGGTATTTGTCTGTATGTATGTCTGTCTGTCTGTCTGTGTGTCTGTGTGTCTGTTAGATGCACGCGATATCTCACGAAAGCAGGATTGAATCTGCTCCAGATTTGGCATGTGCATTCATCTTATCTCGGACCAGAAGCCTATTGATTTTGGGCGAATTATGTCGTATAATTAGCGAGTTATCAATCAATTATTGATATAGTGATCTAGATTTTTGTAAAGCGAAAGAATTTTGAAACCCGCCGAGTGTGTGTGTGCGATGCGCAGTGCGCAAGTTACAAGAGCGGATGATAGTTAGGGGATCCCCCAAAACAGAAACAATAAATAAAAGCCTTCCGTCCGTTTGTACTGTTTATTTGTTATATTATTTATAGCACTGTCAGACTGTGGAGATGCCTTATAGAAAAAGACTATGAGTATCGAAGATTTCACATCATGTGTTGCATGTGAGCACTCGCTCAAGGCCCTCAGGGACAACATGTAGCATCAGAGGTCACATTAATTGTATATTGTAAGATATTGTAAGAAACGGACATGATTAAGCAAAGAAAAATACGGTATGGCAGTACCGTATGGCTCGCACGGAAATGCAATTGAAAATATGTACCTTTTATGGCTCTTTTGGACAAAAAGGTTCTCGACCCCTGCGTTAGACTGTTAGATATCATATACTGATAAATCTGTATATAAAGCAAAGAGAATGAATTAGCAGGTACCGTACCGGTCACGGGCGGTCAGACCGATACCAGTAATTAGTGATAGCCTATCTACAGATCGGGTCTCGTGAAGTTTGGTACCTAACATACTTTTAGTAGGCGTAGCATAACAATTTTTTGACATGCCAATCCTAACCCTCGACGTCGCAGATGCCATTTCTGGCGATCGTAGTTATAGCAGTACGGCACACTATACAAATCGGGTTACATTGTCCTGTTTCAGAGAAACCCATTTTACAGATGATCAGACACCCCTCCTTCGGGAGACGTCTGGACATTGTTGTCCCTCAATATCGGTAATACTACAGTATAATGAAGTTGCGCAAAATACTACAAAAAAGCGCAATCTAGTAACGTCATCATTGAATTCCTTGGGAAAAAATAATCCGATTTACTGGAGGAAAAAAAATTTTACCGTAGCATTCGAGAGTTTTCAGCAAAAAACGGCAATTTTGGTCATGTGACGGCCGCGATTAATTTAGATTATTATTGAGACAAGCATGACGTGATATGAAGCATCTGACGTGGTCCCAGACGCCCCTCGTTTGTGAGACACATGGAGTGTTTGTTTTATTGAGCCAAATGGAGGGAAATTCTTGGAATTTGGATAGTGTGCTGTACTGTATAGAGGACTTGCACAGGTCACGTGACTTTGTTTACTGGACGGCAAAAAAACAAAAACAACCATTTGGCTCCTGTCAGTTGCAAGTCGGATTATACGTTTCCGGTTTGTTTGGCTGTTGAAAATGGTTATTTCGTATTGTTCCATTAGCTGTACGTATAGTATAGACAACGAAATGGATCTTCAGTTATATTGCACTGTTTTCAAAAGATCCGGAACGTCGCCGGCGGTCGTGCGAACCACCCTCAGTGGGAGGAGAGCTGCAATCCTCTCGCACATAACTATCCCCGCATGGGATTGAAACCTGATTGGAGATGCGGTGGCGAGGGTATTCCTAGATCTGTAGATGGCGAATTCGATTGAATTCTGGTTATTTTTTGCATGAGCACTGGCGTTAAACTTTAGTTATCTATTCAACTTTTCACACTTACTAATACAGTAATAGATAACCTGCTAACTAGGGAAACAATACCTTATGGCAATTGATGATTAATTGATAGCGGCACATTATCATTCACCATCAACGAAGTGCTGTCCGCAAACAGTGAAACACAAGCGAGATGACTTCTGGACTTGACACCA